ATCGGCACTTAATAAGTGATGATGTTATGATAAGCATCAGCCACCTTTACTTCCCAGGGCAGTACCTTGTAACAATTTGAGGCTGGATTGGTCTGAAAATCAAGGTTAATAATAAAAAATAATCTGCCACTATACAGACCTTTTTTTTAATAATCAAAATCACAAAACCAACAAATCTCTTAACAACAAAACACCTATTCTCTTTCACTTAATAAATAATGTCAGGGATGTTTGCATATACTTAATTTCTTTGGCACCATAAATGAGTCATGTATGGTTGTAAAATGAATATGAGGCAGTACGCAATAGTACACAAAAACAGCACCCTTTTTTAACTCTATTAGAGTCCCAAGGAACGCATCATACATTCATAGATTCCTACCTAGAAGCCCAATGAACGCATGATGCGCTGATTTTATTACTTTCTTTACTACCCCCTGGGCCTGTGATGCTAAACCCCCTGGGACGCAAAGAATTAAGGCACTATATTTTCAACACTACTGTAATAGAGTGCTGCCACATGCAAGAAACTACAGATCAAGGCCAAAATAACATGCCTTTGTTACAGGGTCTAAATACCTAAGGAAGGTGATGAACATTCAATGGGCCAAATTCAAGAAAGGCATCGAAATAAGAGAAATGACTGAACAATGACTTGCGCTGGAAACAAATGGATTGAGATAGCAATGACATCCAAAAGGAACCCTAAGAAGAAGATTGTTGAGAGAAGCCAAAGGTACTGGACCAGATTCCATAAGGTAAGACTGAAAGAACTGCAAAGGATTGAACAGAGTGGAGGAGTAGAATGTCACTCCTCTGTGATTATAAAAGCCAAACAGGATGATGGTGATGTTACAGGATCAAAAGGTCTAGTTGGGAGAGCTTATTTTTATTTGATCCTTAGGAATTTAGAAAGGTAATTTTTTTTTTTTCCAGTTACCATGGAGGACAACCATTACAAGAGAGAAGGATAGTATTTCCCAGTGTTGCATAGATGAGTAGACAAGGTTGAGATTGACCTCTGCTATACGATATAAAGTTCTGTGTAAGCGGGACATGAATGATACAGCTACCAAGATAGATTCAAAGGGGGGGGGGGGGATGCTACGGATCATGCTGTATGGAGGAAGGAAATCTTGAAGGGAATGGGTATAAGGAAAACAAATGCTGCAGATAGGTTGAGAGCTGAGCATCTGAGAATAAGCAAACTAAAAAAAAAAAAATGATGGAAACAGCTGTCCTGAAATCCCCTGCTTTAGCTGAGAATGACTTTTTATCACATTCGCCATCACCATCATCATGGGCTTTAGTCCCATGCCTCCCCATAGCAGAATATAACACTATCATCAGGAAAAAAAGGTAAGGTGCCAATGAAAAACATTTATTATTACTTTACTTTTATATACTGGTGCATAATTCAATAACCTCAACATAAAAAATTTAAAAGCTCAATTTTTAAAAATTTTAAAAACCTCACACTTTAATTAACTGTGGAGCATGAAAAATAAGACACAGAATACACTACTGTAAATAAATGCTCCCCCCACCACCATGTGCACACAAATTCTAGTGACAAGTTAATTAACAACGTCTATTATTATTGGACTAGTGTACACGATGTATGCAGTGACCAATGCAATTAAATATGACAATGCAACACTTGTTTACATTAATTTGTAACTTGACGCTTAATGTTAAGAATTTGTTTAGGCTTCTTACCCAGAGGCAATGGTTTATCTTCAGTTTCCTCCTAACGCGAATATCACAGAGGCAAGTCATTGTAAGAATAACAAAAGCCTGAGTCTGAAGCATCCTAACAGAACAGTCCAAGCCTCAGCGGCACTAAGGCACTTTCTACTAATATCTAAAGTTTAGACTAAACAAAGGCCACCCCACGCTGAACACTGAAGCATACTCATACATAGTTTAGTAGACTACTACTAGTACTAGTTAATAATACAGTGAAGTTCCCTTGAGAGTGTGTTCATATGCAGTGCTTATAAATTATGCTCGCATATCAACATGATTAATACATACTATTCGTGCACATAGTAATAGATAATAAGAACACCAGCTGGGTGATCTATGAGCAATGATCTCTTTGAGATAGGGGCACTATTTGTAAAAATAATGTGCTTAACATTGATTGTTTATTGTCGTCCACTGTTTCAGGGGGAGACCACTCTCGTGAAGTCAGCTTGCATACAGACAGACAGACGATCTTAATTTCGGACAATGGTCAACACCGAGTGACAAGTATTTTTTCCATTTGGCGTTTAGATGTTTTTTGCACGAATTTCTTGCGTACCAAGAACAAAAACTATTCTGTTTTGTTCGCAGCTGATACATGCAATAATCTTTAGAAAACGGTTTGTATAATAATAATCTGCGATTTACACACTTTTAACAGGAATTATTTTCCAGATAAAGTTAAAGATTTGCGGTTCTCCTTGCTTGCAACTACTGTGGCCACATATTGGGGGAGTACCGTAGTACGCCGGAGTTCAAATGTTATGTATACTCAACCTTACTGTATGGCACAGAGACATGGACAATGAACAAACAACTGGAAAAACGTATCAATTCTTTGAAGATATGGATATACAGAAGATTAAGTCGTATTTCATGGAAACAAAAGCTATCAAAATCAAATACAGAGGTACTGAGGAAATTGGGAATGAAAAGAGAGTTGCTAGGTGAAATATTTTGGTCACATTAAAAGACATAACAGTATTGTAAAGATCATCCTAGAGGGAAAGGTTCAAGGTAGGCGAGCAAGAGGCAGACAGCGTTACAAGTGGGAAGATAACATCAAGGGCAAGAGACAGGGCTTGTTGGAGATCCATTGCAGCCAACCTTTATTGTGGAGACGGCACCTGATTGATTGATTGAAGCCAGAGTTCAGTCCCCTGGCCGCATTGCAATTACGGAGTGGAGGAGAAGCGAATCAAACCCTAACCTTAACCCTAAACCCTAACCCTATGATGACAGCAGTGCACTGCACGCTGTCTGTCGCCAACACACACTAATTACGTCATTTGTTTCGTTCCCTCTTTTCCACTCCATAAATTGCAATGCGGCCAGGGGACTGAACTTTGGCGTACTTCCCCAATATGTGGCTGTAGTTGCAAGGAGAGCCAGATTTGCAACCCTTACTAAACTTTTACTTAACAGTGTCTTAACAGAACTGCTGAATGTCAGATATCAGTAGCACCTGAGTCATCAGACCCACCTACACTAATCACACTGGACTACAGGTTACACCGTAATCGTTTTGTTGGCCCCATTACAGCTGTGCTGTGTAGATATGAGATTGAACTGGGTTTTCAGGATTTGTAGCTGACTGTTTGATTTTCATCTTTGAGATCTGAGATGTCCTACAGAGAGTTATCACAGTCAATATTCAATATCACATGGAGGGAAATACATACACCAGGGTAGTACTTGGTTGAGCCAGGTATCAGAGATGTAGGCAGTCCTTCGAAAAGTGACCCTAGGGTGGCACAATCTATTGTAACTTGATCTGTGTGTATGCTATTTGGTGCTCTTGCTTTCACAGTTGGTGTCCTGCTCTTTCCCGGCCACATTAATTGACTATCTGGACACCTTCTTTCTGATGACTGATGCCAATTAATTTGTTGAAATGTCCATATTTTGATCATCCTTTCTCATCCTCATCAAGTGCCTTGCCAACTGATTTGGGTGATCATGCCTCTCCACAATCTAAGATCTGCAACTGTGTGTATCAGTTTGTGTGTTGACACCTCTCCATGCCATGACAAAAGGCTGCCAAGAATTTTCTTGCACAATCTTCCTCTGTCTCTCCACAAATCTTTCCAGTGGTCACAACATATTCCATTTTCCCTCTTTTCATAACATGATAAAAAACAACTAATAACTCTTTCTCATGTTTGTGAAAATTTGTCTTCGAGCACTCACCTTTATAAAAATATCTGGGTCACTCATCTTAGCTGTCAAAGAAACTCGAAGAATTCCTCTGTAAAACCACATCTCTGAGGCCTCAAGACATTGTTTTGTTTGTTTATTAATTGTCACAGTCGTATGTTAACACTCTAAAAAGTGTGCGAGAATTCTTTTCCTAACCTCCAGTGACATAAATTTATTGCACAAAATGTTTTTCATTTGATAAAAGGCATTTTGGCCTGTCCTCTTGTGTTCTTTATCTCTGTGATACATCTTCCGTTGGATGTTATTTATCCATGTGCACAGATACTTAAATTAGTACTTGTCCTAAACTAACGTCTTTGACTTTTGTGATACATTTAGGCACTACTCTTTTCTGGAAAATCACCATTAATTTTGTCTTCCCAGTATTTAAACTAAGGCCCATTTTATCATTTTTGCCGCCACTGTTTCTATCAATTCCTGTAGTTTTTTCTGACTTGTCACTATCAAGACCTCTCTAAAGGTTACATAATGTTTACTCAGTCCATTGATTCACTCTCTCCTCTAATGTAACAGCAGTACTGGTTGGCATGTGGGTGTTATCCATTGATTCACTCTCTCCTCTAATGTAACAGCAGTACTGGTTGGCCTGTGGGTGTTATCCATTGATTCACTCTCTCCTCTAATGTAACAGCAGTACTGGTTGGCCTGTGGGTGTTATCCATTGATTCACTCTCTCCTCTAATGTAACAACAGTACTGGTTGGCCTGTGGGTATTATCCATTGATTCACACTTTCCTCTAACAGCAGTACTGGTTGGCCTGTGGGTGTTATCACTGCCTATAACCAGTGCTTTTTTTTCTGGCACTTTTTTTTTTAGGCATTGCATTTTTTTCCAGTGCTTTTGAAATAGACACTTTAGGGTGAGTATGGGCACATTTTTAGACACTTTATGGTGAGTACCAGCATTTTTTTCCTCCAGAAAAACAAAAAAGCTGTGCACATAACACCTGTATGGTATATTCTGGAACAAAAATTAATTATGCTTCTATTGCTATTTATTCATAAGATTCTTTATACTGGGATCCTACATGATGGCATCAGTAGCTGCTAGTAATGATAAAATAGATAACATCAGTCTGAGGCTAGCAGGAGTCAAAGGAGATGGAATGAAAGTTGATGATGTTTTTGTCTATGGACAAGTTTCCAACTGCTCTGAACATATCATATATTTTGGAGGAGATGTCCAAGTAAGTAGACAGCAGACTCCTTTGATTTATGCTGTAGAAACGGTAGTTTTTTCAGTTTATTCTGTTGTTTATATTGCAAAATCTAATCTCACCATTTTAAATTGTCTGGTATGTTTTTCTGGGATCAAGTTATCAACTAGTATTGAACACTATGATATCCTTTAGAGAAAATATTCAGGTAGATTAAGTTATGGAATATCTTCAACTGTGTTCACCTTTGAAAGGACATTTAGCAGATTATGTTGTGATTTACAGCTTGGCTATGATATTTGCAACTTCAGCCCAGCACATCCTATTTCAACAAATGCTCAGTTGCCTTTTAAGACATACTTATTAAGGGTGTCTGTGTGGCTCAGGCCTTGCAAACGTGCTTTGTAATGCTGGGGTGCTGGGTTTAATCCCAGCTGCAGGCCATGCGCCTTGCGTTGGTTTCGACAGTGGTATCGAGAGCCAACCATCCAGAAAGCAATGACAAACAACTGGACGTAATTTTGCTTAGAAATACCATTAAAAAAACAAAGGATAAGCAACTAGCTTTTTTTTTTAAAAACTAGATGGCAGTGGGTCTATTCTTTATGTTTACCAAAACTGAACGCACTCAGGGAATGCGGGAACATGTTTTGGTTTTTGCAATAGAAACAGTAATGTCTACTGTTATTCAGAACAGTGTTTTCCCCATTGTAAATTTACATAATCCTCACACAAACAATACTTTGCTCAGTTTTTTGCCTGGTGTATTTTGCTGTATCTCCTCGTCAGGTGCATTACTTCAGTTAAATCAACATATAATAAAGCACAAAATGAATCCTTTTCTTGCTGAAATGCATAAACCACATTGTTGAGTTGCTGTAGATTGGAAATTCCAAATCGGTCATGTGATTACCATAGTAACGTCAAATTGACCATTACTTACCACACACTGAATAGACGTTTGTTAAAAGGGATCGAGGCTGTATCAGTAAAACTTCCTCTCCTGCATTATGTAAACAGAAAGATCATATGATCAATTTGAATTGCATAAATCTAGGCAAACCATTTTATATATTCTGTTGACTTCGAGTATGATAAGTTCTGAACTGTTTCAAATATATTGTATGCTTTAAAGAAGATGTCCAGTGTTTATCAGTAATGTAAACATATCTTGATTTATACAATAGGAGCAGTAGTGTCTTGCTGACTTTCACCCTTTGGAACTGCAAACAAATAGTTTGACACAACAGTGACACTGTGACAGCGCTACTGTAATAGACAGTTTGTTTTGAATACTGAGACTTTTTTTGTCTAGACAAAAATGCCTTGACAAGCAATAACCCACAGGATGAGGTCTAAATCTGAACTTCTCAACCTCTAAAGCATGTCGCTAACAGCATAACCACTTTGCTGGGGAGTCATCATCATCATCATCATCATCATCATTTTGTTGTGCCCTTATATATTAATCTCATTGGGCTCACAGTTTATTCTTCTATTCAGTTCTGCCATGTGCAGTTGTTTCGATATCATGAATGGAATCCAGGCCAGCATCTTTGGTCTCTCTCTTTAACGTTCATCATAGGATTTTGTTGTGACCTTTTCATTTCATGAATCAATTTTATTACTAAGGAGTCCATACACTGAATTATTTACAAGATATGCCTGAGTTGGATCCAAACATTATACCTCTCATCGACTCTGCCTTGTCAGCTCTAGTTAATCAGTTCGTGAAACCATGGTAAATAATGGCTGCTGTAGATATTTAATTGAACAACATTAAAAGGTGGGGTAACCAGTTGCCATTCTTTCACGTATTTAACTCTTTGAGTCCCAAGGAACAAATCATACGTTTATGGCTTCCTACCTAGAAGCCCAATGAACGCATGATGCACCGATTTTATGACTTTATTTACTACCCCCTAGGCCTGTGATGCTAAACCACCTGGGACTCAAAGAGTTTAACAGAAAAAAAAAAATCATCACATCTGCTGTTTAAATGGTGGTTGACAATTTGGCAGGTCCACACACAAATTTATATAGTATTGCCTTCTGTCATTTAAACAGTTTCCTGAATCAGTTTTTTTTTACTGTTTTTTGCAGTGTTTGATTGGCACAAAGACCATATATATGTGGACTTTGCTGACTGTTGAAGAAAGGGATAAGGCACATCTGAGAATGTACCTGGAGAGAAAGATGCAGTGGGGGAGTGTCTGCCAGCTGTGGCACCACTGAGACTGGGGGGAGGGGGGGGGGGGTTTAACCAGATGACAGTGGGTACCATCAATATAGAGACTCTTAACTGCGAGTTGATTGTGGAGATTGAGCTAACGTGGGCAGGTCCTAAATGCTGTGATGGTGAATCTTTATCTAGAGGAAAAATATTCCTAGTTAAAGCTAGTTGGATATCCTTTACAGGAAATTGCAGAACCAAGCAACCCCAGCATTTTTTGATTGATTGGATTTACTAGGCACATTTTACGTTCAGTAGTTTGCCATTACTTTGTTAACTGTTGGTGCTTGATACCATTGTGAAAATCCATGCAAAGCAGTCTGCTACCACATCGCCTGTACTAGAATTGAACTAGGTACCTCAGACTTTAAAAACATGTTTGCAATGGCAAAGCTGAAAATACCGACTGCAAAAATTTGAAATTCTTGACTCATTCATTTATTCATTCACTCTTTCGTGCATCATATTTCTGCAAGTTGACTAACTTACTTGCTATAAATTCATTTCAGAAAAGTGCCTAATGTCCTGCCATACTTTTATTCTTGACAGGATTACCCTGAAAATATGGAACGCCACAGAGACAACAAACGGTATGTCACGTGGAACTCGGAAAATACTGCAGCACTTATACACAGAAAGTTTCCTTCCTCCCTGGTGTTTGTTATCAAGCCATCCAAGATGCATTTACTGACATTTGCTGTGTATTCAAACTTCATTGAGACTAATGACTTCGGCAGTCCAGTTCACAGCAGTGACCATGGGGCGATCAGACATCTGTCATGTCTTTACAACGCTGCAGTCAAAGAAGTCAACAGCAGAACAGGTGGAAGTATTCAACCATCCTGCCCTCTACGGTTGATTGGCTTCAGCAAAGGATGTACAGTTTTGAACCAGCTGGTGTTTGAGCTTCATCTTTTAGATCAAAATCCACAACTGAAACAATTTATCAAGAAGATAAAAGCTTTCTACTGGCTTGACGGTGGGCACAGTGGTGGCAAGGATAATACTTGGATCACAGATGATGAACCTTTGCGGCACCTGGCATCCTTAGATAGTGAAATCTACATTCATGTTACCCCTTATCAAATCAATGACCCTCTGAGAAAGTGGATTGGACAGCAAGAGGCAAAGTTTTGTAAAAAGCTGAAAGGATTTAATGCTAGAGTGGTGGAGAAAGTACACTTTGGCAATGAACCAGGCAGCATTAACAATCACTTTAAGGTGTTGGAAGCTTTTTGAACTCTTGGATATCTAAACGAGACATATTCTTATCATGAATCAGATCATGACATTTTTCAATGTTGGGAATTTAAGTCATACATTGCAAATTTCTAAACATGCGACAAACAATACAGTCTTCTGACTGTTAGTTGTACAGGTGCGGATTTGGGGTCATATATCAGACAATACTATCATCTGATTATGAGCCTGACAAAGTAATCTTCTGATCATGAATCAGGCAAATCAGTCTCGTAATTATAAGTTGGATAATGTAAATTTCTGATTATGAGTCAAACAAAGTAATTTGTCACTCTAGTTCAGACAGTGCAATCCTTTTTATGCAGTCCTTGCTTTTAATAATTATTAAAAGTATTTAAGAGTTTTTAATTCAGTTGTGTTTATTTTCATAAGAACATCCATTATTGTAAACACTTGTAATGCTCACTAATTTTGACTAATTTTTCCCCCTTTTTAATAAATAATTTGTTTTCTGTAACAAACAACTCACCCTACAGCTTTTGCGGCATTCATTAATGTTACAGTTTTTTTAAATTTATTTATAACTCTTAAAACCTCTCACAAACCTTAAGTGCAGCAAAACCTGGCATAAGATGATACCACAACATCTAGTTTAAAAATGGAGAAAAAGGTAGTCGTTAAATCTTTCTGTTGGCTTGAGAACTAGCGGCACTCACATGACATAATTGTAACGGACTCACAAAGGATGTTAAGAAAGGTGGAGACAAACATGCTGTGTGCAGAGTGGCAAGCATACTTTCATATGTCCTGGAGAGCTAGCGCAGTTTGGAAATTTTCTTCAGGGTATGCAGATCTCTTGGGAAAGGATCAGCCGCACAGATTAGCTGGTTCTGCATCACTTCATGATAAATTGATGCATGACAAGCAAGATGTGGTCAAAGTTCTTTCGGAGCCAGTAATTAGTGCGGAAGCACAAACATTCTCTGGAGAGAATGGTGCAACAGGAAGTGAGCAAGGGATCTGACCAACACTGAGAGGAAAGGACAGGTAAACATCATGCAGTCATACTGCAGCTAGTAGCATCGGAACTGGAACTCTGTGCACTGGCTACTAAAGATGGAGACAGATAGGAATACCCCAGATGCTGTAAAATCAGTTCTTAACTCTACTCGACATGCGGTTGTTACACCCGTTCACTTCACCTTCATCTGAGTTAACTTTGGCAGAAAGTTCTGGTTGTTTGTCCGCTTCTGGACTTGAGTCTTGTTCCAAAAGTTGAGTTTTGCCTGCACATGTATTATACGGAGCTAGCTTATTTGTAAGCAGACTGTTGGTTTCCTACTTCTCAGGCAGATGCACTCCAGCTTGGAAGGAAATTCCTAATTAGTTGACTGTCATGACGTGTTTTTAAGGAAGACCCCCCGGCCCTGGAACCCACATAGGGAACTTTTACTTATTCAGCAGCAACCAATTCAACCATATATTTATTAGAAGCTTCATTAGTATTATAGTCTTTATAACTCATTATATTATTACATTAATCCGCTCTGCTTTGCAGTTGTTACTTCTATAGCTTTTCTCCCACATGAACCAAATGTTGATTACTGCAAAGTACATGTACACTCACTGGAGCTCATAGAATCAAGAGCGTAGTAAACTAACATAGGTGTCACATGAGTGTCCATACATAGGACAATAAACATACCACCAACGCCATAACAAGCATAACTCCTTCTATGCTTAAATGTGTTCTTGCAGTGAAAGACATTCATTGAAATTTGTAACTGCTATTCATAAAGAGCATATCCTATACATTAAAAATGGTTTTCATTTTTAAAAAAAAGATTTATTTTTCCTACGTATGGAAATCTATGCCACACCCTATCCATAATAGATGACTTGGGAAGGTTGCTGTGAGACTGGCTACATCATCCCATAGAAAACTGGTAAAATTAAAGTAAAGGAAGATTAGCTTGAGACTGGCTACAATATCCCATAGAAACTGGTAAAAATTAAACTAAAGAACCTTTTTAATGCTGCTGGCATATCAGTCATTATAAGACTAGAATCATACTTCTGTAGACCATGTAGGCGATGTAGTCAAAATCATTCCCTGCATAGAAAACAACTGCCGTAAAATCTGATCAGTCATCAGAAAGTCGAAGGACAGCATAAACTGGTCAAGGGCTGTCATGGACTCAGGAATAGGTGTATGACTATAGGACATATTAGTTAGGAGACTTATAAAGTAATGAATGTGTGTGTAGTCTTGGTTCAAAAGGGGCATCAGTGTTGATGATTGAGACTTTGGAGGGAAATAGAAGAATAGGGATGGTTAGGAGGTGAGAGTTGTAATTGGTGAGTATTGACAGGTGTTTATTTTGTGAATATTCACGGTCTGTTTGAATGGATTAAAGTAAGGACGATATGTCAGCTAACTCCTACTGGGTATGTTGAGTATGGAGGCACTAAGAGGGCTGCTGCATTGGTGGACGGAGCACAAATGAGTCAAACCAGTGTGCTAGAGTGTTGATGCGGACAACAAGTTAAAAATAGTGGGTTATAGTCAGTGTCAGCCACGTCAGCATCTTGTGAAAATTTGCTTTTTCAATTTCTAAATGTAATAATTAATCTAAGCCACGGGCTCTGGACCCATGGGTCGTGATCCCAAATGGGGTCACAAGGAGTTTTTTAGGGGGTTGCTGAACATTTATGAGCTGTGAAAAGTTTCAAAAGGGGAGGAAAAAGAAAATGAAATTAATTATATTACACAGTAAAATAGATTGGCTAATAAAAAAGCATCCTTTCTCGAAAGCTGAAATATTTTGGTCATATCAAGCGCCACGACGGATTGGAAAAAATTATAGCAGAAGGCATGGTACCAGGAAGCAGGGGCCGACCGACACGAAGATGGGCACAGGATATAAGTGACTCCTTGAGTGTGGAAGGGCACGAGGCAGGAGAACTGGTGAGAGACCGAGTTTCTTTCAGGCAGACTGATGAGAGCGACGTTCTGCAAAGGACCTGCTTCATGATGGTGACACAGCAAAATCCATTTTCACCATGTTTTCATTTAACATATTGAAAATCTATAGAATACAAAGGCATAAACAGGCATCTGAGTTTAAATATCTGGGAACTACATTTACCGGAGATGGGAAATTGGATAAAGAAATTAACATTAGATGCAGTAAAGCAAACCAAGTATTGGGACAGCTAGTTCCCCTCTTACAGCATAAGACAATCCCAATCAGCACAAAGAGACATCTTATTCAAAGCATATTTATTCCAACTCTGTGCTACCAGTGCCAGACATGGTCACTCACAACAAACCATAAAAGAAAATTAGTAACCACGGAAATGAGATGTCTGAGAAGGGCTGTAGGAGTGACCATAAGAGATAAGATCAGGAATGAGATCATAAGAGAACAAGTCGGCACAGAACCAGTTCTGGATTACATACAAAGACAGCAAGTGAAATGGTTTGCCCACTTAGAGAGAATGCCTTGTGACACCATACCATACAAAGCATACATGGAAAGAGAAGAAGGACGTAGAGTACGGGGTAGACCAAGAACAAGATGGAAGAATAACATCAGAGAAACTCTACAACAGCACGATGTGCCTATGGTCGAGGCAGCCAGAAGAGCTAGAAACAGAACCTTATATCTCCCTCGACACCCACAGCGGTAAAAGAGGAAGTGAAGAAAAAGAAGATAAAAAATCTATAGAGTCATGAGTCACATTGCTTCTAAAACCTGGGGTGGCAGCTCAACAAGGGTTGAGTTGAGTTGAGTCAAGAATTGACATCACAGCACACGGGGCATTCCCATGTGTGCTCCGTCCTTGTCTTCAACAACCAGCTGAGAGTCCAGTACTCGTAATCTGGTGATATGTCTGTCTTGCCTTCCCCCTAAGTATAGTGAGCCAGCCAGACCCCCTGATTACTCCCAGGTGCGTCATTCTCTCCAGGCCTTTATAATCTTGTTTTGCTTCTGATTCTGTTGCTTGTTCGCAAAGGGCCCTGACCACATTTGCCTTGTCACGTATCAATTCACCACCCAGTGGTACAGATGCAGCTAAACTGTCTGCCTGTTTCAACATAGGTTGAGAACCATGATCTAGGCTAGGGCTATTCAACTGGTGGCTTGCAGGCCATATCTGGCCCTCAGGGGCATAGCAAGTGGCCCGCAAATTGTTGCTAGCTGTGTTGTTTTGATGATACATCTATGCTGAGACTTCTGGCCCGTGAAGATCCCCATTTTCAAAATGTTGGTCCCTGAGTAAACTTGGTTGAATAGCCCTGTTTATTGTGTCAGCTGTCTCTATATCCTCTTTGTGTCGCTGTTGATGCATAAGGCATTTACAAGTGATCTCCATTGCTGCAGGTCTGCTGCTTTTCTGCCCATGGTATCCCATGTCAGTTTACATTCCTTTATTTCCCGTTCTATTGTCCTTTTCCAGGTTTCCTTAGGTTGTCCACGTCTCCTTTTTCCATCTGCTGTCCACCAGAGAGCTGTTTTTGCTAGATTGTATTATGTCAACTAGTATTCTCTTAAAGAATTCTGTCAGAGATGTGAAAATAAGTCTCTAACAAAGGCTTTACCCATGGTTAGCAAACTTAACTATAGGCTCACTGATCATGTCTTCTAATCCAGATGAATGCTGGGTTTTCTCATCCCAAGTTGATTTTAGGACTGGAATTTGGGCCTAAATTTTGTGTCATGGTTTAGGCATTTTGAAAGCACTCTGTAATTCGATCCCAGCTGTGAGCAGTTTGGCAGCAGGCCACCTTGCATTGGTTTTGACAGGGTTATTGAGAGCCGACTATTGAGAAATCTATGACAAAGGTGCTTTATTAATATCCTACCACGGACAGGGGAAATCCACAGGTCACGGGACAGTCTCATATTTCAGGGGGTGGTAGAGAGGCTGCATACAGTCGTGGGACCTCTAGGCTGCACTCTCTCATAGGACTTGGGTGGGTTGGGGTTACAGCAAGTTCTAGAAGTTTTGTGGTTATTAAGAAGCATCAGAAA